TGAAGAAGTTTTTCTTGTTATTCTTAACATCCCGTGCCAGATTCAATTCCACTTGTGCCTTGGCTTTCCTTGTTGCATCCCTGCGTTCCCTGACAACGTTCCTGTATTTATCCCAAGTGGCCTGTCCTTTTTTCCACATTCTATATATTGCTTTCTTCTGCTGCAGTTTTGTCAGGAGCTCTCTGCTCATCCACGCGGGTCTCCTGCCCCCTCTGCCTGACTTCTTACGCATAGGGATGCACTGCTGCTAGGCATGGAGGAAGATGAGGCCAGAAAACACCCAGATGCCATCAGCTCAACACAGAAACACCTAAGTGTTTTGCAGAGTGATCTGGAAAGACAATATGGGGCTCCTGAGGGCCCTAGACCTTCAGCCATGTCCACTGGGCTCTATTATATGAATCTCCATGGAAAGGGTTAGCAGCGGATTAGGGAAAGTGGCAGCAGCTCTAGAATAGGAGTGGTAAGCAAGAGCAAGAGGAATCTGCAGGCCTGCCAGAAAGCAAGGCAAAAGTGACAGGGAGGTCAAGCCAGAGAGTCTTGAAAGTTTGCCCACAATTTCAAGGGAGGCAGAGCTACCAGAAAGTCTGAGAATGCCTGGCTTAGGATAGCTCAGCTTATCTGCATCGCCAGTGTGCTAGGGAACAGTCCTGTGCCACTGCTTAGCCAAGAAAAGGTAACATGTGATGTTGAGTCATTCTGAGTGTTTGATATGGGATGAATATATAACAGCTACAACCACGTGAAAAAAAAAAAAAAAGGCTTTAAATTTAGCAAAATGAAATATACACATATATATATAAACCTACCTTTTACTGACAGAGGCTCTCAAAATTTGTGAGAATTTCACATACTGATCAGTAAACCCTTCAAGCCCAGACGGCCTCAGTTTCCTTATTCACACTTATCTCAGATGATTTAAAAGAACAAATTAGTGTTTGTGAAGAACTTTGAAGGCCTGCACTCATTGTAAGAATAATATTTAGTACTCTCTATTTCAATCAAATACATTGATTTCCTGACAACGTTAAAGGAAGGCAAATCACTAGAAAGGACAAATTCATTTATGGCATTTCGAACAGGCTGCCCAGGGAGGCTGTGGAGTCTCCTTCTTTGGATCTTCAAAATCTGCCTGGATGCCACCCTGTGCTCTGGGTGTCCCTGCTGGAGCAGGGTAGGTTGGACTAGGTGATTTCTAGAGGTCCCTTCCAACCTCAACCATTTTGCAATTCTGCAATAATCAGACAACAAGCACCATGGTCATTTTTGGTTCTCAGTGCTTGAAAACACATTTTATTTCAGGCTCTTAAAAGCCTGAAGAATTAATAAATACTCATTGACTTTCAGTTATGAGAGAACCAAAATTCTTGGTTCCAAGAATAAAAACCAAGATTAAAAAGCTGCACCTGGCCCTTTCTTTTATCTGAAGCATCATCTCCCAACCTATCCTAATTGATTATTTCTACTTTATTACGTAGTTAAGTTTTCAGTGACAAATCCCTTTAGACAAAGCCAACAATAAAGAAAGTTTTGCTCATCTGCAAAGCAGAGTTACAGAATAGCTGAGACTGGAAAGGATTCTGGAGACTTGTCTAATTCAACCCCACTACTAACAGTAGGGCCAAATACAGCAGCCTGACCACTGGATTTTCATTATTTCTGTGGTAAACGTGTATAAGAAGATACAAAGAGAGGCAAGCTCAAGTTCTGACTTACTGTGATAACAAGCTACTCCTGTCAAACAGCAGGATAGAGCATACACCTCCAGAACACATAGTGTGTTGATCAGTATGTTATACACTGTTAGTGTACAGAGATAATATGAACAATCCTGTAATGCACAATTTTTCAGGCACCTTAACTTCTTAAGCACCAGAAACCAGGATAAATGAGAGATTCTTTCTGCAAATTCCTCATCCACAGTTCTCTGTTAATCTCAACATACTCAAAGGAGTGGAACAGCAACAACACGGTTGCAGTCTTTCCTTCTATGGAGCAGACAAAAAAAGTTAAAACTCATAAATATAACTTAGGAAAATAATTTATTTTAAAATTTTAGCACAATGCTTCTACAGCTGATTAGCTACCTGAACCACCTTTATGAAGGCTAAGGCATAGCTGCTTGATTTGAATATTATATTTTTAATCTAATATTACAATCAGTAAAGATATTCTTTCCTGGTCAAATGAAAATCATTTTGCCCTTTTCATAACTAGGTTTAAAACGTACAACAAAAGCTCTGCTGTCTTTTGAGCTTCGGAAAGCTGCAGCATAATGAAAGAAAAAGCCCAAAGAAAAATCATTCGTTCAGTTTGAATTACAGTATGTTATTAGTCCATGCTCAGTAACGGTTCAGTATAATAAGAAATGTGTCTATACCTAAACAAGTAATTTACAGTTGCATATTATTTAAAAATAGTCCAATGTAGTATTTAAATAATGTATACTACTAAAAAATATGATCCACAAGGATCTTCAGGCAAAGCACAATATTATTTCTAAAACCACTTTTTTCCTTTAACAAAAATATCTTTAGTTGAAATAATCAGTTGCATCTATCCTTGAAGTTAGGAGGATATCTCTATTCTTCAGAAGAAAACAGCCTACTGTAAGGCTGTCTTAAGGCAAACCTAGTTTACGTTAGCTTACATGAAGCAAGATGCTTTATTGTTGGATTGATTTATGTAGCTGTCTGCAACAGACCTGACTTCAAAACCAGTTTTCTCCCAGTCTTGCCTGCCTATGAAATCTAATTCAATTTCCAAAAGCAAATTAAAAGTTGTTTCAGAGAAATGCTTTCTTCCATTCTCGCCCAACTCTCAAGCCAATTTGTTTTATGTACAAAACTATACCTAACGTTTCTGACATCTTCATAATAAATGCTGTGTGAGCTACAGACTCACTAGTAAAAGGGTTAGCATAGATGCTCAAGCAAGTCTTCTTGAATATAAATTATTTAACAATGTACTCTTGTGACTGTCCTCAAGAACAGGCTCTGTTTTTCTATTATTATTCTTTTATTTCTCCAAATTCTCACACTGTATTAAAATAACTATGAAAACAAAAGCCACCAAGATCAAATGACTCCAACCAATATCCTGGAGACTTCACAACCATGATTCAGTGTGGGAAATAGAAGAGAGCCCTTTCAGCCCCAGGAGATGGATGCAGTTGATGTCAGACGGTGCTTCTACTACAAATCTTTACTTTTGCTTTGGATACTTCAGCAAAAAGATACTGTTAGGCCCTGTGCAACTCTATGGTTGCTCTTGCTATTTCTCCCTAGCAAAAAAGTTGCTATTTGGTTATATACAACTTGACCACCTTCTGAAGCCTTCAGCTGGGAATCAATAAGCAGGAATATTGCCCTCTCTTGCACTATTTACACAACAGCATCTAAAGAAACTGTGAAAAAATGTTCCACCACCAATACTCTACTATCACATTCCTGTTTTCTACAGGACAGAAGACTCCAGCTATTACAGAAATGGTCTCCAGTCATTTTATTCCTCAAAAAGCTTGGCTGAGCTGGCATAACTACAGATAAAAGGATGTCTTAATACCAGGACATTCAGGTGAATTATCTTCCATTTTCCACAACAGAAAGCTGACCACAGGGGCACAAGGATTCTGATTTAGAAATCTGATGCTTGGTAGCACAGTGATGCAGATGTAAAAACTTAGACAACTGGTCCAAGTGGTACAGGTCTAACTAACAACACATGGCTTAGGCTACCACAAATATAAAGCTCCTTTTGAACTTTTTTCTCATCTATTTTGTTGCAACGTGAATTGCAACTACCATCCAAACAACAGACTAACCTATTAAAGCTGAACTTCAACCTTATGAATCACTCTGACAGCAACACAAAGCAATGTCAAACACAACCCAGGAAGAAATACTTAAAAGCAGAGGATCCTGAATTCATTGAAGGACCTGGAGGGTAAATTTCGAGAGAAAACTGCAGTAATGAAGAATCTAGTCCTCTTTAGAAACCTACAAGAGATGCCAGGCCACAGCACAAATACTATGAAACAACTCTAACCAAGGAACAGGCTACACTAACCAGGTGCAATTTTTATCTCCGAAAGAGAAGAAAATGCAGGGACTCATAAAATTTACTAGAAATTTCACTGCTACCATTCCACGGGGAAAACACGCAGATATGACAACTATCACCTTCAAAGTATATTTCTTAGATTACACAATGTGCTATCAAACGCACTGGAAGGCTGTTATGGAAAACGCATAATATAGTCTAGAATTGGAATATTGCTAATGGAGCATCATTCACAAGAAACTTTGACCCTGCGTTAAGTTCTTTAAGCACTGACCCAAACATTTTATTTTTTGAATAGTGCTGTTTCATGAAACAGCTGAAGGGAACACAAAGAAGAAAGGGATTAAAATAAAATAAAATAAAATAAAATAAAAATCTCGTTATTGGAGCTTGATGTCACAGAGGGGACTCTGGGAACACTTGCAGGCCTCCCCTTGCAGACCTGTTCAGCCTCTGACACCTCATGAGCCCTCAGGCGGGAATTCCTCTTCCCAGAGCTCGCCCAAAGCGCGGATATTCAGATTTCTGGCAGTAAAACCGAGCAGAAGGGAGGGGGAGCCCCCGGTCACGTGAAGGGCTCGCGGAGGGCACGGGCAGAGCCCGCTGCCCGCCGGGCCCCGGCCCTCTCGCCGCCGCCGCGCTCACCAGCCCGCGGTCCAGCTCGGCTTGGCCCCTGCCGGCGCCCGTAGGGGCCCTCGCGTACTCGGCGTAGCGCAGGCCCTCCGAGGAGGCCCCGGCTCCCTCCATGCCGCCGCCGCGCGACTGCGAAAGCCGGCGGAGCGAGCGCTACAGGTCGTCCGGAGGGACAAGAGGCTTAGAAGGACGGAAAAAAAAACAAAGCGAAGCGCGGCTTCTGCCGCCAATCAGCGCGGTGAAAGGGTGGCCCCGCCCCCTCAGTGGCTCGCCCCTCCCCCCACGCCGGCCCCATGACGCGCGTCGCGACCGTTGGAAGGCCCCGCCCCTTCGCTCAGAGCGCCCCGGGGTGACTGCCTGGGGCGGCCATCTTGTGTCCTCCTGTCCATTGGAGCTGGGGTGGCTTGGCCAGCTCTAAATCCCAAGGCAATCGAGAAGAGAAGCAGAGGGGAGAAAGGAAGGAAGGAAAGAGAGACAGTTTATGCCCAAGAGTTAGAGTAGGGGAAAGAGTGTGAACACTTGAGAGGCCATACAGGAGTGATTCGTGTCCCTCTTCTGAGGGAATGTGGGCCGTTAGAAAGTGATAAACATCTACAGAGGGAGAAGATGAAGAAAAATTGATCTGGGAAAAAACAAGCAACTGAATATGTCTCTTAAAAATACATTTATATTTTACAAGGGATGTGTGTTTATTCTTCAGTATGTTTATATACAGATTTCCCCAAAGTACTCAAATTGAAAATCATAGTTTGCACTTGTGAAAATCATCAAGTGATATGTCTATGATTCTATGATTCTAATGCAGTTGATAATTGCCACCATTAGTCCTGTGTCACATATTGATAAAACGCTCAATCTGTTTTCAATACTGCAACACAATAGATTTACTTTTGCTCTTATCCTGCTTTTCTCTCCCTTTTACCTGATAGTACTGGCATTGGAATTGAATTTTCAGCAGACTGTTCAGCAGTGTGCCCCAACAAAAAGAATTGCTCTTTTTATCTCCTGTTCCAAATACTGCTTTGCAAATAATGCTAAGGCATAATTCTGAGCATGTATCATGGCTTTGTGTATGTTATTGATATTCATCCATCTTGTATAACACTGAAATGCAACTGCTTTAAGTCATCTCTCAGTATCTTTTTAAAGTACAGCTGCTATTAACCATAAAGGTGAGTTGACCATACAGAGTATTTCATTAATCTTAGGCAGGAGTATAAATGTAACTTTCCACAGCACGGAACTTATTGGATGTTCTATGATGATCCATTCTGGAAGAAATATATTCGCTTTTACTTCCTCGCTGAACATATAACATATGATCATATATGATTAATTTTTTAAACCTTCAGTGGAGTTGAATTTCTTGTAATCTTAAAGCCTATTTTAAAATCAATAAAAATGCCCTCAATAAATCTTTTTTTTCTGTTCATTGATTTGTGCAGAAGTGAGGAAAAATACCACATGCCTTGCTATTTTTTAAATTAGTAGACTTAGATTTTAAAAAATATCAAAAGTGCTAGATTTTAGGAAGGTTTATTTCTTATTTCCCTTCTCCTGTATATTATTGCAACATGTATGGGAGGTCTAGATCTCTCTTGATGTCACAGTGTTCTCTTTCCAAACATAATCAGCCACAAGAGAAGAAACATAATGTGTATTTGTTTTTGGGAAAGAAAATACAAGGCAGGAAATAAAAAGAAGCCAATCAATTAAGTGTAGCAAAATTTGAAACTTTTTCCAGCACTTTGATCCTGGTGTTTGTTTTTGCTGAGTCTCATATCTACGCCTGGAAGGAACCTGGGTGTTGGTCATCCTCTCTTTTTGGGAACAGTATGTGGACAGGAGGGATGTACAACAGGAATGTTTTATCTGTTAAGTATCAACTTGAGCTGCCTAGAGAAATACTTGCTTGGAGATGAACATCATAATAGTTCTGCTACAGTACAGAATAGTACAGCTTCATTAATTCATTCATATTTCTTCTAACTTATTTTCTCTTTATGCATGCATTTGACAGCTTGGGGCAGAGTCCACCACACCAAGTTACAGTGGTGGGTATTCCAGGGCACTGTCACACAAGTCACAGAATCACAAGAATACTGAGGTTGGAAGACCTATCAAGAGGTCATCCAGTCCAACTCAAAGCATGTGCTCAAACAGTGCTCAGCTAGAATAACTTGTGCAAGGCAGAAAATCTTCAGAGTCTTACAGTCAGATTTTGAAGTTCTTCAAGGACAGATTCCACAGCTTTTAAATGCAAGACATGAGATTGTGGAGTCTCCTTCCCTGGAGATCTTCAAAACCTGCTTGGACGCAGCCCTGTGCCACATGCTCTAGGTGACCCTGCGTGTGCAGGGGGATTGGTCTAGATGACCTCTAGAGGTCCCTTCCAACCTTAAGGATTCTGTGATTCTGTGATTTGGAGACAACTTATTCCATGACACTGGAGCCACTAAAAAGTGCCTGGATCTGTCTTCTTTGCATCCCACCAGATAGGATATACACAGATAAGATCCTCTTGACCTTCATCTTCTTCAGGCTTCTCCAGATTGTCAGCTCGGTCAGCCTCTTCCCATAGGGCAAGAACTCCAATCCCCTAGTCATGTTTATGGTCCTCTTTTGACTTCTTCCAGTACTTCCATGGCATTCTTGCATTCAGGAGCCCAGAACTGGGCCCAGAACTCCTCTCCAGATGTGGTCTCACCAGTGTTTAATAGAAGGGAATAGTCAAACTCCTTGATCTCCTGGCAACACTCTTCCTAAGGCAGCTGGGGAGGCTGTTGGCCATCTTGCTACAAGAACATACTGTGCCCTCATGTTCAAATTTTTATCAGCACTTTCGTATGATCTGCAAACTTGCTCGGAGTGCATTCCATTCCATCACCCAGGTGGGTAAAGAGGGTTCTGTCCCAGTATTGATTTGGGGTACTCCACCAGCTGGTGAGTACTGGAATGAACCTCCGGGTAGGCTTGTGCTGCTTGACCTTTAGGTGCCTTGGCAGAAGGGCCAATGGGATCCTGGCTGCATCAGGAGGAGTGTTGCCAGCAGGTCAAGGGAGGGGATCCTGCCCCTTTACTCAGCTTTGGTGAGGCCGCACCTGGAGTATTGGGGGCAGTTCTGGGCCACCCAGTACAAGAGGGATGTGGAGCTTCTAGAGGGGGTCCGGCGTAGAGTGACAAAGATGTTTGTCACTCAACAAATTGTCAAAGATGACTGTCAAAGATGATCTATTGTATGAGGAGGGACTGAGTGAGCTGGGCCTGATTAGCCTAGAGAAGAGAAGATTGAGAGGGGATCTGAACAATATGTACAAATTCCTGAGGGGAGAATGTAGGGAGAAAGAGGCCAAGCTTTTCTCAGTGGTGGCAAGTGACAGGACAAGGGATAAAGAGTACAAGTTGAAACACGGGCAGTTCCATCTCCATGTGAGGAGGAACTTCTTTCCTGTGAGGGTGACAGAGCCCTGGAACAGGCTGCCCAGGGAGGCTGTGGAGTCTATTTCTCTGGAGATCTCCCAAACCCGCCTGGATGCCACCCTGTGCCCCGTGCTCTGGATGTCCCTGCTGGAGCAGGGGTTTGGATTAGATGTCTAAGGGTCCCTTCCAACCTCAACCATTCTGTGATTCTGAGTTCAGTTAGGATCTCCTTGTTAGTCCATGCAGCTTCTGCTGCTCTTCCTCAACTCACTGCATGTTGAGATGACCTTCTTCTTGAGATTGGAGGCAGTGGTGCTTGAAAATTAAATGGCTCTTCTAGTCCCTGTTTCTCCCCAATAATGTATCATGTTGGGGCCTTCCCAAGATGATTCTTGAACAGGTCAAAGTCTCCTCTCCTTAAGTCCAGGGTTGTTACCCTGCTATTTGCCTGAACTCCACTCTCATGGTCACTGTGGCCAAGACTGCCCCAAACCTTCATACCTCTGATCATTTCTTTCCCAAGACTTAAAACTTCTCATACTTTCTTTGTGTCAGGGCAAGCAGAGTATCTCCTTTTTTCAGCTCCTTGATAACCTCTGCCACGAAGGAATCATCAGTGCACTCCAGAAACATCACGTGTTGTTTTGAGAGTGACGAACTTTGGCCTTTAAAGACACTGGGCCACATAGACAAGCTGTAAGATGGAAAACATTATTCCAAATGCCTTCTCAAAGCACCAACTATGACATTAACTTTCTGGAAAGTGAGACCTAAGAAGAATGTAGATTAAACATAGCCAAGCATGTAAGTAATGTAAACAGAATAAATCTGATGGGAGTGGAAAGCACTGTTTTTTTTTTCCCATGAAGGTAAGGAGAAGAAGGATGAAAGAAACTGGATCTTTGGTTGTAGTTCTCACCTTAAGCTCCTCTATGCGCAGCTTTGGTGGAGACGGTCTGTCCATTACTATTTTAATTTAATCCTAATGTTTGCCAGCATATTCTGTTAGTGTGTAGCCAAGTTGTTCTTATTTGTTATGCTGTTTGAGTTAATTGTCTGTGCACTTTTGCTGTAAATGACTCCCAGAAACAGTTGTATGTTGTAGTCATCTATGTCGCAGTCAGGGTCTGTGTTTGCAAGGGTTTCTGCAAGGGCTGATGGAGACCAAAGCTTGGGAAGTTGAGGCAGGGTTGGAGGGTGAACTTTTGGGTTTACTCTTCACCATTGAAAATTTCCGAAGTCCCTGCAAGCGTAGCTCCTAAAAAATGTGTGAGCAACGTCAGGAACTGAGGTTGATGCTGAGGATGAAAGTTTCTGATGTCAAGAAGGGAGCATAACCGAGAGCTATCAAGAAAATCATAAGGTGTATGATATAAAATTGGTAGTCAGTACTTGAACTTTGGTGAATTGCTGTGTGCATATGAATGAATAAAGAACAGAACTTGCCAACCACTGTACCAGAGTTAGGGGTTGGAAGAGCTGATTGCTCCTAAAAGCATTTGTATGTTCCTCTAATTACTGCAATATACTCTAAAAGCAAAAAGAGGCATAGGCTGCAGAACTCTCTCTTTAAGTAATCCCTTTGGTAACATTAAACAAAAAAAGGTAACATTTTTCTGCATAGCTTAATAAATGTCTGTATGACACCTTAGGTAGATTAGCTACCACAGGGAAGTATATTATAGAAAATCCTAAACTGGAACTAATCACGGCCTTGAGGAATTACAAGAGTACAATTATTCCTTGAAGAAGTGGTGCAGAAGATGGTTCATACA